ACTGATGGGGAAAAAATGATAAACAGTTCATGTATTGACCCTGCCTGATGCTCAGGTGACATGCAAGGCTGACCCCAGTGCAGCAAGTCTTGCTCCTTCACGTGCAGCTGTGACGCAGTCCCAAAGGTAGCAGCAGCAGCAGCAGCAGCACCAGAACCACTGCCCTGGGCACTGGGACAGGGCTGGGCGCTGAGCAGAGCTTCCCAGCCTGGGGCAGATGGTGGTGGTGTGCACAGTGGTACTCCATCTGCTTCCAATGTTCACACCCTGCACCGCAGTCCTGATGGTTCCTGCTGCCCTATCCTGTGCCCCAGGCCCTAGGCAGGGGCCATAGAAGGATGTAAGCCCCTAGTCCCCTTCAGAGCCTCACTCCTGCAGCTCCAAGGATGCCTTTTGGCAACTCTGGGGAAAGGAACAGCAATGATTGACCCCACCTTGTGCCTTCTGCTGCTGATTTCTGTTCTTGATGATGGGTGTGGGCTGGGGTACCCCGGAGGCAGGGAGGTAGCGAAGGACTGAGCTAGCACACAAACAGGGCCAACAGCCCAGCATAGGGAAAACTGTGAAGCAATGAGGATTGTGGCAGATTAAAACACAGCTGGTGCTCTCCCACCCAGCTCTGCCTGCCTCTCCAGCAGCCCCAAGAGACACCTCAGGCTCCCTGAGCCCCAAGCTGGGCTCTGGGCTCCCCTCACAGCTTGGGCAGGATTTGGGCAGAGCCTTGGGGACCTGCATTCAGCCCTGCTGGGATGGGGTCACCAGACTTCAGCAGAGCTTGGGCTCCTCAACACCTTCCCTGTAAAGAGACAATGGGAAGGTACAAGAGGCTGGGCATTGGGGCAGCAGAGGCTGTTATCTGCCTCTGAACACAGCCGCAGGGCTTGGCTCTACTCCGCCACTGTCTGTCAGCTGCTCTCCTATGCAGGAAGAGGAGGGCAAGAAGCCATGAAAATGAGCAGCAGAGATGGCAACAGCCCTCACCTCTGTCCTACAAGGCAAGAAGTGTGGGTTTGTGCTCCTTGGAGGGGTCCTACCTCTCGGCCCCAGCCACGCTCTGTTCTCCATCTAGCTAAAAAAAGCCCCATTAACACAATGCTTTCATGCCACATGTGACGTCACCACTACCCTGAGAAGATACACGTGGTGGGGAGGCCTGGGCCAGGCTCCCAGGTGAACGCAGCCCCCATGGCTGGGGCAAAGGGGCAGAGCAAGGTGGCATGCTCCACAGCAGTGCAATCAGAGGGTCAAACTACAGGTGGTGTCACCATCTCGGTAGCACTGCAAACTGCTCCATTGCTGCTGTGCTGCTCTCACCGGCTCACCTCCCGGCACTCCCCCAGCTAGGAGCTGTGCACTGCCACAGCGTCAGAGTTCTGCAGGGTGTTCGGTACGCTCGACTTCTGCTAAGGGCACTGCTGGTGTCAGGGGAATCCCACAGCCATCCCAGCTGACACATACATTATTTACAGGAAAACTGACGCGGCAGAGCTGATTCCAAGTAAGTTTGACCAAAGCACAGCTGACACAAGGGCAGCCCTCATTTAAAACAACAGCCGCGGAGATTCGCACGAGGCCAGGAAAGAAAAGCGACCTGGCGCCCGGACGTGGGCACAACGTGCCCGTCCCGTGCTTCGGTGATGCACGAAGACTCTCGGCCGGGCGGCGCGCACCGCTCGGTCAGACGCGGGGCAGCGGCTGAGCGGGAGACTCCGCCAGGCAGCACCCGGGCTGGGGAAGACGGCTGTGGGAGGAGGCTGAGGCCCCGGCAGGCGGGCACGTCTCCACCCGCGCCCCACGCTCCTGACCCTCAGTACCCCGTTCCCCAGTACGCGCCCCGGAGAAGCATCGACGCAGCGCTGCCCGCGGGGCTCGGAACCGGCCGACCTGAGGGAGCCGCCGCGCCGGGACTGCCCGCAAACACAGGGAGGAGCAGCGACTGCCGCACGGCCCTCAGCAGGCGGCGGAAGTCCCGCCTTTTCCAGCCGTCTCAGCGGCCACTTTTCCCGGAAGTTCCTCCCCGGTTTCCTTCATGTTGTCTGTTGTCATTGGCTGGCGGGTCCGGCGGCCCCTCATCAGATTACCCGAAATTATACGGAGCACGGAAAACCCTCCCCCCTCATACACGGGAGCAGCCATTTTGTTTTGACCGCCATTTTATGGCGGGAGCAGCCATTTTGTTAAACGTCACACTGCTCTGTGATTGGCCGGCGGCCATTCTTCACACCCCACGCCCACGTGTTCTGAGGCAGCACTGTGATTGGCTGCGCTCCTTCTTCGCACCGTGAAGCGGTCGGACGCGAAGGTGGCTGCTGATAAAGAAATAGTCGTACAGAAGCGTGTTTATAGACATGTATGAACGTCTTATTTATCTACTTTTCTCTATTTCTATGTACACGCATATAGCTTTACACAGATATGCATTTATCGAGCTGTAGAAATTAAGCGCAGAGCCCCCAGGCCCCGGGATGAGTGCGGTGCAAAGCGCACAGCCTGATGTGCCTCCATGGCTGCCCGCACTGCACAGCACAGCACAGCACCGCACAGCATTGCACAGTGCAGCACTGCAGAGCACAGTGCAGCCCTGCACAGCACAGCACTGCACAGCGCAGCACTGCGCAGCACTGCACAGCAAAGCACTGCACAGCACAGCGCAGCACAGCGCAGCACTGCACAGCACTGCACAGCACAGCGCAGCACAGCACAGCGCAGCACTGCACAGCACAGCACTGCACAGCACAGCACTGCACAGCATTGCACAGCACAGCACTGCACAGCATGGCACACAGCACTGCACAGCACAGCACTGCACAGCACAGTGCAGCACGGCACACAGCACAGCACAGCACAGCACGGCACACAGCACAGCACAGCACAGCAGGGCATGCAGCACAGCACAGCACTGCACAGCAGGGCATGCAGTGCAGCCCAGCCCAGCCCAGTGCAGCCCAGTGCAGCAGAGTGGCTGCACGGCTGACAGAGCTGCTACCATGCGTCTGCCTGCTGCATGCCCAGGGGCGCCTCTCAGCAGTGAGTGCTGAGTCCCAGCTGTGGGCCTCTCTGAGGCAGATGCAGCTGGCTATGCCCAGGAGCCTGCAGGTACCTGCTGAGGGGCAGAGGAATAAAGGCCGTCGCCTCGCAGGCAGACAAAGCGTTCTCAGCACGGTGCAGTTGCACGCCCACCCCGAGCAGCAGCCTCAGCTCTCTTGAGAAGCGCTATATCACACAAATGCCCTTCCCCTCACTCGTCTTCCCAATTTCAGTGCTAGAGATCTCAAAAAATGCAGAAGCTTCCCAGCCTGCCCCAGAAACCCAATGGTGTAATCGTCAAGTGAGTCTCTCTAGGCACAAAGTTGAGTATGTTACTTTACAGCCAAACTTTGATGGAAATATACTTCCGTTGTATGACTATGAAAGCATCTCCAAAAGCACGTGCATGCACCCCACTGGTCAGTACAGAATGCTGACTCAAACATCATTCAAGGTTTCACTTTTATTTATTTTTTTGCCTTCTGGATCACCAACACCCTCGCTGAAACTTCTTTGGGATTCCACCCCCACCCCCATGAAAGTAGCAGACCATCTCCCAACTCATTCAAGCAAGTGAACAACAACAACAAAAAAAGTCCCCAGCAAGATCACTCAGAATAGGACCAAATGCTTATTTTAAGGGGGTGGCAAAGAATTGGGTGGTGACAGCTCTGGCTTCAAGAAGCCAAACTGAAAAGGAGCCTACAAAGGGGAAAATGGGCTAAAAAATACTTAGCAATCCTTTCTCTACCCAAAGAGCAGGGAGATAAGGAAAAAATAGTCATCTGATTACACACAGGGTATATATTTTTACACACACTTTTACACACATCTAGATATAGTACATGTAAAAATATATGCTATACATATGCCCATCTTCTCAAAGGTGCTTCTAATCTGCACTGTGTATGGGCATGTATACGTGTGTATGAATTAAATGTACAGGTACTACTAAGTGTATATGTGCATATGTACACATACATACAGGCAGGCAGCCTTCCTTTAGCCACCCCTGCCTTCCTTTTTGTACAAAACCCAGTCCTTCCACCCTGAAACACCAGCACACATACCCAGCCCTCCCCTGCCCCAGCCCACTTTGAAACAGGTCCCTCAGTGTTTAGCAGCTTCTTTCTAACAAGCAACTCAGGGGATATAATTTTGGGGGTGGGGGGGCATAGAAATAAAACTCAAAGTGAAGCATGTGTGGATTGTGTCTGTAGTTGCTCTGTGGTCCTTCAACTCCCCTCCTGTGCCTGGGGTAGGGCACTGCCAGCCAAGCACCATCACTGCCCCCTTTGCCAGCTTATTGCACGTTTGCTTTCAGGCTGCATTTCAGCAACTCTGCATTACATTCCACAGATCCTGTCATCCTCTCACTTCATTAAAACAGGAATATGAACCCAATGCCCTGTCCCTGCCCACCCATCCTCCCCCCACCCCCTATCCCCATCAAAAGGAGAACAAAAAAGAAAACCAAGAAAGGCTGCTTGCTAGCAGAGTGCAACAGTAGTACACACTGAATAGGTGTTCTCTTCAGGAGCTCTGTGGAAGAGAGGTTATTTCTAACACAGTAAACAAAGCCATGCAGAGGGAAGGAGAAAGGGTGCAGAAGGGGGAAAAATAAAGGATGAGGAGGAAGAACAGAACTAAGGAGGAAGAAAAACAGAGCATGGCAAGTACTCAAGGCTTCATGTTTTGTTGTCCTCTTCTTGTAAACAGGCTAATAATTCTCATTAGTTAGAACAAGTAAAAAGACTGAAGTTCCAAGTTGAGGGGCTGGAGGTTCCAGGAGTCTGTTCAGTCCATTCAGCAACACCACAGCCAGTGAGAAAATGAGGGGTATTTTTTTTTTCTTTTTTTTCTTTTTATGTTTAAAATCTTCATTACTTAAAGCTGAGAGAAAAAGCCAACTCAGGAGCCCTTTTCAAGGATGGCTCATTGTCTCTAGACTGAATAAATCACACTAGTTTAGAGAGAACCTTTTTTTTTTTTTTTCTTCCCCTTTTTAATGACTTATAAAAACCACACGGTTCCTTCCTCTGCCCCTTCGCTCAAAGGCGCGTCTGTGCCTCGGGGACGTAGATCTCGATGCTGTCTGCACTCTCCGTGGCCGAGTTCTGCCGCACAGAGGCAGCGCGCTTGGCTGCCATGAGACGCTTGCGAGCTTCCTGGCGCTGCTTGTCTGAATCAGAGGCTTTGTCCCGGTTCAGTTGGGATTTGGACTTTGCTGGCTTCTTTGGCACTGGAGGGGGTGGTTTCTTCTCTTCCTTTAGGGAGACAGTAAGGAAAAACCCAAACATAAAATAAAAATGCACATACAGAAGTTTGCTCCCTGCTATGGTGGGGACTCTCGAGGCCTGAAGAGCTAAGAAACAAGGTTATGAGTGACAAGTGCAAGAGCTAGGAACAGTTCCAGAGCAAGACATTCATCGTAAAATAAGCTCTCTACTTCTTACGAAATAAAAAAGGACTATTTTGCTTTTCATGATATGGACTGGGTTTCTTTTTTTCTAGCTGTATCTGTGGCCCAGTTGTAAGTCAGAGCACAGCACAAAGACTGAACATCTGAAACTGCAAAATCCTAATACGCTGCACTGCCCATAGCCATAGCATTCTTTCTTCCCCTCATACGTGGTCAGACAGGGTGGCCCTGAGCTGCAGCCTTCCCTGGATTTCCAAAGGCTCCAGCAGATGCTTTTTATACCACCCAGGCACCAGTACTTATGCAGTGCTTGTAACACTAGAGGCCTCTGCATCGCTGCTTTGAGTGTACAACACTCTCCCCATCTTCCTCTTGTAAAAATTGCTTCCACTATTACTCAAGAGGCCGTGAAAGCACGCACTGGGAGGATGGCTGATTAACAATACAATCTCATTAGTGCAAGTGCCAGAACTATTATCACAGGCAGCTAGATTATATGGAGGGATTACGCTGCAGAAATAGAAGGTAGTGAACATCCTAGAGATCTTCTGTTTGCAGACAGGAGTAGATATCATACCGGAAGTATCTGTGAAGCGCTCTCACCGCTCTGAACTGCCCCACGCTCACCTTTCTCTCCGGTGTCTCTGCCAATTGCCAGCTGTTAGCTTTCAGGTGGTACAGCTCATCAAATTTCATGCTGATGTCTTCAATGGACAACTGCAGGAGGTCCCAAAACCCAGCTAGGTCCTGGGCTGTGGGTCTGGGATTGGCATTAGGGTTCTACAAGGGAAGGCATAAAAATACATCATAAAGAATATGCCTGTACAGCTTACATTTACTCTTTTCTAACGACTGAAGCCTCGAAAACCCCTTAAGAAACTTCAGCCCTAAGTAGGCACAGGCATGAGGCCATCATTTACAGACAGAAGTTTTTCTTGCAGCAATCAGGAAGAAAAGATCCTGACGGAATTTCTTATATTGGAGACTGAAAAATAATCCTAAAAGGTACTCTGCAGCAGAAGGCAACAGCACCTTTCTCCTCATGGCATCCCTGGTTAAGTCTAATCCCTCAGCAGCAACCTCCAACTGAAGATCTCTGGCATGCAATTCAGAACTACAACACTTTTTTTTTTTTTTAAAGTACATAGATCATAACTTAAGGGAATGGAATAATAGAAACTGATACAGCACAATGCAAACCACAGCTGACAGCTGGAAAGCTTGCATGCCAGTGTTTTCACAAGCAAAACTACTTTGCTACACATCTGAAAGTATCAGTACAGTTAGGGGATGACCTGCTGGAAAGAAGCTCTGTGGCGAAGGACCTGGGTGTCCTGATGGCCAGCACTTTGCCCATGAGCCAACAGTGTGCCCCGGTGGCCAAGAAGGCCAGTGGTATATTAGGGTGCATGGCCAACAGAGTGAGGGAGGTGGTTCTTCCCTCTGCCCTGCTGAGGCCAAATCTGAAGTTCTGTGTTGTTTTGGGTGCCTGTTCACAAAAGACAAGGATGTCCTAGAAAGAGTCCAGCAGGGGGCCATAAAGATCTCCAGGGCCTGAAGCATCCCTGTATGATGTATGAGGAAAGACTGAGATTGCTGGGGCTGTTCAGCCTGGGGAAGAGATAACCGAGACTTTGGGGGGAGGCAGAAAATCTATGAGTATCTAAAGTGAGGAACTCAAATGGGGCCAGGCCCTTTCCGTGGTGTGCAGTGACAGGAGAAGGGGCAACAGGTGGAACTGGAGCACAGGAAGTTCTGTCTGAGCACAAGGAGGAATTTCTCTACAGCGAGGGTACCTGAGCCCTGGCACAGGTTGTGCACAGGAGGTGGTGTCTCCTTCTCTGGAGATATCCAAACCCACCCGGATGCTTTCCTGCATGACCTGCTCTAAGAGTGGGGTGGGACCAGGAAACTCCAGAGAAGCCTTCCAACCCCTTTGATTTTGTGATTTCTTAGACTTGCTTATAGGTTCATAGAATTGTAGAAGGGCTTCGGCTGGCAGGGACCCTACAATCCCCATCCCCACTCCTGCTGTGGGCTGGCTGCCCTACCTCAGCTCAGGCTGCCCAGGGCCCAGCCATGGCCTTGGGCACCCCCAGGGATGGGGCACCCACATTTTGCTGGGCAGCAGAACCAGCACTTCATCACTGTAACTTCTGAAAAAATTTTAAAGGAGCTAAAGTAAATTTGCCCCCATTAAAAACAGAAATTCCCTAATTCTCAGGCACCTAAACTGCCAATATAGGCCTTCACTGTCTCAGGAAAGCACAGGATTAAATCTAAGCAACTCAGCACAATGTGTCAAAGGAAAATTTCAACACAGAATATTGCTGAAAGCCTGGCTGCTGGTGTTGCTGTTGCTCTTCTCTCAGCCATGTTCCAAGATCTGCAAGGGAACATTCACATCCTTCTTCTTCCTGAGTTTCTCTAAGTTTTTTGCAAGTAAAGGGGAATACATCTCAAGAATTCTGCAAAACCCAAAACCTTGAGAGGAAAGAGACAACCCCCAAATCCTAGATTCCCACCCATCCTCAAGTTAGCTCAGCAAGGGCAAACCTTCGCATTAATTTGAAGAGATCTGATTCAAGCCACGTTTTGTGATTAACCAGAGACAACTGTGTTGGGACAGCCCTACCATCCACATTATCTACATGCAAAGTAAGCATCTTTGGAGAACAACGTGCTTTTCAAACAACCCCCCATTTGGTAAAAATCTGTGTTTCACCTCAAAATGTCCTTTAGAAGCAACAAAGAAGTGGTTTCCAGGACACACAGCAGAACGGCTACATGACGTCAGACCTACAAGAGACTCTGCAGGTGCCCTTTAGTGTGCCTGAATGGCAGTTGAAGAGAATTTCTTTGTGCCACACAAGCACGAAAACAAACTGCAAATATTCATCCCTGAGCAGAGCACAGCTAAGAACTGCCTGTTCAGCCACCCACTGCTCACCTGCTATTTGGAAACAGCATGAATCCATCACAGCACAGTGGTCAGGTTGTAGGCTACAGCCGCTCTGGCTTTGCTCTGTACTGCTGTCAGCATAACAATATTCCTGTTGTGCTGCTGAAGCAGCTGTATTTCCCTCCCAGAAAGAGGCAGGAATAAAACCAGACTCACCAAGTTTTGTTCACAGAGGCCATGGAATTGCTGGAACTTCTGTGACATTAGTAGCTGTGCACTGCCCACTGCACTCAGGACTTTTCCTAAGACTATTAGAGGGTGGAAAAGAAAAGAAAGGGCTTAATTGAACAGTCCATAAGTGCAGCAACAAACTCAGGCATTCCTGGAGCAAGAAATAATCATTAGCAGTTACAGAGATCTGTTAAGAACTAACTACTCTCAGGCAACAAAGATGCACTGAAACTAGTCTGTGGTTGTCTTTGCCATCCATCCTTGCTCCTTCTATCTAGAGCAGGTCAGAAGCAGGACAACAGAAGATCATGGCAATAGAGCTTGCAGGAAGTACCCTGTGGCTTGTGTGATGGGCTGCAAGCCCAGCTAGAGGAGTTGAAGCTGGCACCTGCTCACAGATCATCGCCTGCTCTTCTGCCCACAGACAAAGGAAAAGCAGCAATGTCCCTTGCTTCTCGATAGAACAGTCTCCAATCTCCATTTACAGGAATGGATTAAAATACTGTCAGGCAAGTGTTTTTAATCACAATGCTTTTAAAACCCAGGGCTTTATGCTGCTCTTAGTGGGCCTCCAAGGAGCCTCTGAGCATAGCAACATTCTTCTGGTTGATTATGGAAAAGTGCTAAATATGGGCTTTTCCCTTGCAAAGGCAGGGATGAGAGACTCATGGAGCACACAAATACGTAATGAGCACATGTGGAATGATCTGCTTCCTTCTCCCTAGCCTGATGCAGTTCTCCCAAATCAGTTCTGAATCTTTATAGATCTGTGCTTGACTGATCAGACATAAGCAGGGCTTTTTTTTTTTTTATACCCACCACATTCTTCGTTACAAAACCTACTAAGAGATTGCTCTTAAGGTCACAGATCTAACATCTCATCAATCTGTGTCTCTTCATACCAAGGCACTGTTGCCACAAGCAGAGCAAGAGCAACACGACATGCTCTGTCCCTCTGAAGCGTGCAGAGCCCCAGCACTGACTGTCCAGCTCAGGAGCCAGTGCAGCATCACAGTGTGATACGGTTAGAGATCAAATGCCCCCAGCAGTGACAGCAAGCTATAACTAAATCTCACCACCATTTCACCTTTCTTGGGTATAAACAGGCCTTGAAATTGTGCTCCTTGCAGCCTAGGTACTTGGTTCTGTCACTCAGTACACACCTAAGCATGATTACCATTGTAAGCAGCAGAGCTTTTGCCAATTCATTTGAAAATAATGGAACAAGTCCAGCTGTGACTGAGCCCAGTAAAATCAAGTGCCCTTGTGTTTCCTGTGTATGTGACTTTGGTATACTTCACAGGAATTCAGTGAGATGTTCCCCTACAAAGAAGCCTACTCTTCGCCATGAAGACAAGCCAGATCACACAGGCACAGTTATGGTGCCTTCCACTCCACCACCAGGTAAACTTTTACTTGTGCACTTAATCAAACAGAGTGGCCAGGGAGAAAGCTCTCAGCCTCTCTGAAAACAACCTAGTCAAGCTTTTAGCTGCTTTGACTTCGTAATGGATGATGGCAGCTTCTGAAATCTTCTCAACTGCGTTATTTCTTACCCCATTTGCTAAAGCAAGTTGCCTTATCCTTCCTGTCCTTCCCAAGGACAAACTGTTCCTTGCTGCATACTCACCTCCAGGTTCCACTGTGACCCTGTGGGAGATCAGCAATTTAACCACAGAAAGCTAATCCAGTACTCTGCTTTAATTCTTAAAGGAGGAGCTACTGGGCTGCTCCAGCATTGTGTCCAGAGGCTGGCAGCACCTACCTTCTTCAGAGAGATTGTTCTCTTTAGTCTCCTGGTCCATCTGGCGGCACCAGCCCTCTAACCGCTCTGTTTCTGCCTGCAGCAGCTTCAGAAACCAGAACCCATCTCGCCGGCAGGCTCCGGGCTGCGTGGGTTCCGATGGCGAGGCAGATGATGTCTCAAGCCAAGGGTCAGGAGGAGGGAGAGAGGAAGGCTCCAGGGCTGGGTCAGTGTTGTCTCCATAGGAGAGGTTTCTCTTAATCTGTGAGGGCTTGGCTGGTTGCCTGGCACTGGTATCAACACCAACAGAGTTGTTGTGTTGGGGGCACTCAGCAACGCTTCTCTCAGATGATTTACAGCTAGAGTTGTTGGGTTCCTGCGTGTCAGAGTCTGTATCCTGTTTGGAGGACATACTGCGAGAGTGGCTGTTTCTGGAGAGATCAAACCCAAACATATTAAATGGCAGAACTCAACCTGTCTGGTCGCACAACTAACCATTAAAGACATTTGCTTATTATGCCTGCAGTTGAGCCTCCTCTTCCCCTTCTCACACACAAACACAGTACACATTTGGACAGACAAAATCGTAAGGTTGCCTGCTTACTGCAATAGGCCATTCAGATGAGAGGACTGATGCACAATTCTAATTACATCTTGGACTATTTTATTTATTTCAACCTGCCACTGATTTGTCTGTTTACAGACTAAGTGCTGTTTGCAGCAGGTGAGTGCTGGGGAGGAAAAGCTATCCACGGGCCCCCACTCAACACCATTCGTATTAGAATAAGGGGAGAAGGTGATCTAAGAAATGGGAAAGAGCAATTTAGAAGAAAGGAGTAAGAATTACAAAAGCCCGAGTCTTTCACTTACCGCCACTCGTCTTCTACCTGAACCCCGATGGACTGGAATTTGGTGACTGGTGGAGGAGGCTCCTCTTTGACCACTGGCTGAAGGCAGTCAACCTTATTAAACAAAAGAAATACAGACAAAAACAGACACAAGAACTTGCTGCTGGAATTCACATTAGTAGACGGGAGGAGTCCACACACGCACACACAGCATGCAGACAGCACACACCAACTGCAGAGTTGTGCTAGGAGAGGTGCCAGGCTGCTGCATTAATTTGCCTCCACTTGAGCATCAGGGCTGTACCCCACTGGGCTGCTGCCAGGCACCTGCTCTGAGCGCACCCGGCTCTGCCATCTGCTGTTTGCATGGCACTGGCTGGGAAAGGGCTGCATGTCCCCAGGGGAGCAGCTGCACGTGGCACCTGACATGGGCAAAGGCCACGAGCTTCACAATCCAATTAAGACTGACAGCAAAGCCTAGCTTCCTCTTCTCCAGGGACTGACACTCTCCATAGCTCTGGATAAAAGGCTTAGAAGGTTTCAGGAAGGAAATCCAGGGGGTGGACAGGTGGCACAGGAACAAACTCAGGAAAGGAAGAGGAATGAAGTCAGCCTCTCCAACACAACTTTTCTTGCTTGTGGCTGTTAACACATGCTTTGCCCCACCAGTCACACAGGGAAGCCTTTGCTGAGCTGCGTACCTAACTGGTCAGCAAATCCCAGTGTAAAGCCATGGAGAACTTGTTCAGTACACACATGGTGACCTGCAAAGCCCAGCTCCTGATCTGGACTTGCTGAAGTGCTCACATTCCTGTCTGCAGTCTATAACTTGCAACACTAAGCCAGCAGTTTGGGACAGAATTGCTGTTTGCAGGGACCAGCCACCTGTGCCCAGGAAATCTGCCCACAAGGAATGTAATTGCAGGTGACAATATTAGCTGAATAAAGCACAGGTTTATGCTACTCAGTGGGTTCTCTTTTGCCTGCAGAACAAACAACTTATTTCCATTAGTTTCCACAGAGTTAAATGCTTCCAGCAGGAACAGCAGCAACTTGCTGGCACTGCCAGGCAGCCCAGGGGAGCAGAGGCCACCAAGAAGCACTCCCATCTGCCTAGAGCTCTGCACATCACACTGCAGCAGATGGCAAGTAGGGGGCCCATCACTCCTAAGAAATTTGTCCCAAGAACCACAAAGGACAAGGAACAGACTGACACTAAGGAGTGGGAGCAGAGCACGGGATCAGTGCAGGTTTACTAGCACCAACGCCTCTTAGAGAGACCCACTCAGTTCATAGGGTCCCCCTGATTCATGAAATATTTCAAACTGAAATAGCTTGTAAGTCTCTTATAAGGTCTGTTACAGAAAGCTTCTGCCCTACCTCCCCCCAGGAACATGGAAGTTAGTATAACAAGCTATTCTGAGTGGGTTCAGATGCACACCTGGTCACACAAAACACACGTGCTAAATAGATGGGTTAAAGACATTCCTTAGGACACAAAGAAGAACAAACTGCTCCATACTTGTATTCCTATAGATGACAGTTTTCTTTTGGGGACGTTCTCCACTTTGGGCTCTTCACTCGTCAGAGTCCCTTTGTCGCTTTTCAAAGTTGCATTTTTCTGCGGTAGCTCTGGAGTGTCTCTCGCTGGAGTCACGATGCTGCCCCTCGTAACGCTGGGTGTCCTGGTGCTGTCTAAGCTGTCTGAAGAATTGCTCAGTCCCGACTGGCTGGTCACCTCGCTCTTGTGGTCCTGGCTGTCCAGGTAGGTGTCCTGTGCCGATTCAGTGCTGCTCTGCACAGTGACAGAGATGAACGGCTTTGATGTGGTCCGAGGTGGGACAGGAGGTGGAGTCTTTTTATATGCCACTAGGCATGATGAACCTGCAGTGATGGAGGTGGGGAGAATGAAGAATAGAAGAGGCAGACAGATACAGTGAAAGAAAGAAAAAGCAGGTCAGTCACAACATCCAAGAGGAGTCTCCAACCAGAAGCTGAAGGCAGAAATGCAGAGACAGCCTACAGCCAGCAGCTCATACCGAGTAACCCAAACCAAAGCATAATGGGAAGCAGAAGGCAGAGCCAGAGCTAGCTTGCAAAAGAAGTTAAAAGAAATACCATGATGTGTGAAAGGCTAGTAGTAATGGAGAAGAGGTACAGAGAAGCCTCCCAAGACTGCTACAAGGTTTGGCAGGTGTAAGTCTCCAAGCTGAGGGAACTCTTTTTGGCTAAGCCCTATGTTTTAGTGTCCTAGTACAGCCAAGTGTCTCAGCTCTTTGTCCCATCAGTTGACAACTTTCAGTATCTGGACCAGGGTGGTGTTTTTTCCTATAAAAATGGAAAGAAGCCATAAAATTTATTAGATGTAAGAATGTAAAAATCTAGCTGCTGTACATTACAGGAAAATACATCACGCCAGATCTAATAGCCAGAGAGGTGAGGCTGTGCTGCTCCACACTGCAACGGAGATGCACACACAGCCACAGACACACAGGCACACAATGTCAGACACACAGATCAGAAGAAAGTCCCCAAAAGACATCAGCACCAGCCTCATCAAGGAAGGTCCTCCAGCAGCTGAGCCACCTCTGCCTGCCCACTGTCTGTCTGCACTGGGGGCTCCTCAGTCTGGGGACACAAGCCAAACGCTGAAGGCCCTGCAGACCCACTTGCCCTGCTCCCAGCCTGCATCCCCTACTCACCAGCTCAACCTTTCCCAGCAATCACACAGTCATTGCCCCTGGACACGAGGACGCTGTGATCTGGCCTTGCCGCAGCCCCCTGCAGCCTCACCCCATGATGTGGGGAGCACAAAGCCCTCACCCAGGTCAGGATTTTCATATGAACCGTACAGACCGTGCTGGGCAGGGCAGAGCTAGCAAGCATGACATGCACCTGGCCCCCGTCATCCCTCACCCCTCTTTTCACCTTAGTTTTATTCCTCCCCCAGTCACCCAAATCCTGCCTTTGTTCCATCTCTGGTCTAGCAAGCTGTGTCATCCCAAACCATTCTTCCACTACACCTGAGTACCCATGTGGGAAGGGGTGTTTCAGGCAACTAAGTACCACAGCTCCTCCTTTTTTCTCCCTAGGAATGTCCCTGCATGCCACCCTGTGTGCCCCAGGCATGTGGTCATACCACTTGCAGACAATTACACAGCAATTTTGCATCATGGGCTATTTACATACTCCACAGATACCTTTATTAATTGCTAGAAGCTCTATTTCAAAGGAGCTAAAAGAAAGGGATTACAGAGGAGACCCATGCTCCCACAAGTGTTTGCACAGCTAACGGTCCCAATTGCTGCAGGAAAATGAAGCCCTAGAGGAGCTCAGAAAGGCAAATCAATACCAGTTCCCTCCTGCCCCAATGCACAGACTGAGTACAGAGTGAGCAGTGACTGGACGCCACCAGAGCTCTCCTGCCAGCTCACCCCAGCCCTCACACCCCTTTTGACACAGGTCCCTCCTGCAGCCACGAGGGCCATACAGTTGGGAAGCACACAGCTGAAAAATATTCAGACAAGCTACTTAGTATAGGCACTGGGCAGTTTTTCAGCTTGACCTGTTCCTGCTGCTATTCCTTACGGTGACACAAGCTGTGTAAACTGCTCAGGACAGCCCAAGCCTGGAGCTGCTGTACCTCCTGCCAGAACAGGAACATATTAGGCTCTTGAAAAGCCACCCACAGTGATTTCCTAAAAGGTCAGACAAGTGTAGCAACTTCTCACATTTACATGCCAAAACACAGCTACACACATCCTTCAGCCAGTTCTTGATTGGTCACATAAACAGTGCGCTGCTGTCCTGCCAGGGCACTGCCAGCTGCTGACTGTAATCACACCAGCATTTGCTTCCAGCTTGCCAGCCCCACACCACCCCCGTCCTTTGCAGGGCACAAGCTCACGCACCAGGACAGCAGCAGGACATGTGCAGATGCTCAAAGCAGCATCAGATCAGAACTGTTTAGCATCTCCAAGCAAGTCAACCTTGAACCCACGATGCCGAGTTCAGCAGAGGTATCAGATTCAATGGCAGCACTTGCACAAGCGCAGGCTGAACTGCAGCATGGCCTCTGCCCACAGCAATGCTTCTCAGCACCGTGCAGACATACAAACCAGGAGGTCAAAGCACCACACACTGCATAACTGCTGCCTCTCTCCCCAAGTTCCCTACTGCAAATCTCCTCGGGTGCACTACAGATCTGGCCACATTAGAACTTCACTTGTTACAGATGTTCACCTGCTCAAACCTCTCAGGACAGGTCTTGGCTACAACTATCTGGTCACAATGCTAGATGGGTGAAGCACTTCTCATGTGAGCATGGTCAGCAGCAGCTCTCCTGGGCAGGGAAAAGGGAGCCATGGAGCACCCCACAGGTAAGGACTCTGCCCAAGCACCTCAGCAAAGCTATCCTGATACAGGACCATCATCTTAGATTGTTACACCAATTTCTGGGCCAAGTCTTACACCCAGCCTGTACAGTTCAGCAGAGCACTGTAGGACGATCAGACTGGATGAAGCAAGAGGAAAAGCCCCTTTACACAAAGTAGGCTACACCATCAAACACAGGATGCTCACAATGCCACATGTCACTGCACCAGGAACTGAGGCAGCTATTAACCAGGACAAGCCAAAACTACCCAAAAGGGCAGAAGAGAAAGCCTGCCTCCCATAGCCCTCTTCTCCTTACATCACACATCCTCTCAGCTCCTCCAACACTGTGCCCAGCCTCACGGTGCCCCCCTCCAGCCAGCAGTGAGCCTTGGGCAGATCACACCACACAGGGCAGAGCTGATGGCACTGACTGCTTTGGCGCTTCTGCTGCTGTGTTTTCAAGCAGCACAGCTTGGGTTTCCCAGCTGCTGTTTATGCCCACAGGGCAGTACTGTAATTAAGAGAATAAATCAGCTGCTATCTGATATCGAATACTGCAGCTAGGCAAAACAAGGGGAGGGCAGCACATCAGCAGAGACAAAAAAAAAGGCAGACTTCTTAGGGAAGACAGGTGGTGTTTAGGGTCAGTTACACAAATTCAGCTTTCCACTCACTTATAAGCAATGATACTGTTTGCAATGCTGTGTATACAGAGCAAAGCAGCAACTTCTTGTTCCAGGAGATGCTCAGCTGAAGAGCACAGATTTTGCTAAAAAGGAACCCCGCTGTGCAGCAACAAAATGCCCCACTGACTAATGCATGGTCAAAGAGCTGCCTGCGACTTCTTAAGAGCCTACAGCTCTAAAAGCCCATGCAAGTGGAAGGAATGCATGAAGACCTGGAGCCTTGGAAAACTAAAGAGTGCTTCGATGAGTGCAGTTACAAATTAATCCCACTGAAACCCTCTGCAATCATAAGGCAGGGACTTTCCACTGCAAAGCCAGAAACCACAATGAACCTAAACCTAACCTAAAATGGGCTTCAAAAGCCATGCAGGATAAACCGACCTGTAACAAGCAGTCCTTCTCCCTCAACGCAAATACGAAATTTCAGTGTTTCTTGTGTCTGTGGGAAGAGTTAAGAAGCCCTGAGGAAGCCAAGTGCATTGTGCTATTTCTGCAGGGGAAACGTTATGAACCAACCAGGCAGCAGCATGCCTCGTGCCACTGGTCAGCCCCAGCAGCGAGCAGCTCCTGATCCAATGCAGGTCACAGCCTACTACATTGCTGTTTCAGTTTGTGATGCAAAACAGAGCTGCAGCCCAGGAGGGCAGTGGAGCAGGTACACATTTTACTCTGCTGTTTGTCAGCACCACTCAAATTTGTGAGTATCAACCAACACTGCAAAAAGGTGCTGAAGAACAAGAGGTAGGGAAGCTTTGGTTAAGCCTCCAGCTCTGCAGCACCAGACCCTTTCCACCCATAGGATCTCCTACAGCTTATTTAAGGAAGTCATTAGAATTTACAACTGCCGTGGATGATTGATGGGCCAGGGGAGGGCTGTCTGTTTATAGCCTTCCTTGCGCAATTGTTTTTAGAAAGCAGCATGTTTCAAAATTAGCATCTTCCACATGGCATTACCTGCTGCTCGCAGGGCCTTGGGCAGCACCCACTGACTGCAGGCAAAAGAGCTTCAGATTCAGAGCATGAACCTGGAGGGCTGCTCTGACCCTCAAAGCAGCTGGGCGTACTGGGATCCTCTCCTTCTGAACTGGGCAATTGCTTCTTGAAAGACCAAAGCACAGGAGTCAGAAAAGAATATTAAATCCACTGCAGCCTTGAGAGGCCCCTGTTCAAACACAAACAAGCTGAACTTACCTGCTCAGTACCTGCAGCACTGCCAAGATCATAGCCAAGGTATTTGGGTCTAGATTTAAACACTAATTGCCACTGGTGTGTGTCTGGCACAAAGTGCAATTATTTTGTTGTTCCGGTCAATTCAACATAGACCAGTGGTATTCCTCGTCAATCCCCGTGGCTTTAAAGACCTAATCACACCATCCTCAATTTTACTGAATTAAAATCTCCAAGTCACAATCGGTTGTGAAGGTGAGGTGTATTAATAGAGCTCAAATTGCTAACCACTTTTGTGCCCTATGCATCCTCTTTCTGCATAGAAAGATCTGAAGAAATGACATCCCTTGCATAAGGCAACACACGCCAAAATAATCTCTCCCACTACAAGACAAACTCCTTTGCCTTTTAAATGAAGCTTCCCAATAATAATGCAGCAAACAAGAACAGCCCTAAGTTGCTTTTTGGTCACGTCTCCAGACTTGTTTAAGGGGCATATTTACAGGTAGCTTTTAACAGCAAACAATACTAGAACAGTCACATTCCAAACAGCCTAACCTCTGATTTCCATGAACTTGCACAACACAAGACTGAAGCTATAGCAACCCACAGGATGCCTTGTTTGTAGGATGTCCAAGGAAAAATGATTCCCCC